AGGGCTCATGGGTCATGCATATGAATCTTGATAATCTGCTTTTGCCCCAACACGAGTTGTTTGTTTCCATATAGTTTGAAAAAACTTGTCTGTCTGTAGTGCTTGTTGCAAGAGCAAGACAAAATGTTTTGAATTTAGATTTCAAAATTTTAAATAAATGGAAGACAGGAGATCCTGAAAACGAAAGCTAGTAGGAAGCCAGGTTGTAAAAGAAAGATGAAGAAAAATACAACAGTGTTAAAATTCTTGAGGGAGAGCTTTGCCGCCCTTGTGGTTCTACCCGGCTCGATTCCGGATTAGTCGGTTCCCCTGTGGATCCGGAAACCGGAAGGTCCCTGTACCAAAAAAAAAAGAGAGAAAAGACAAAATAAGAAAAGTTAGGCATGTAACAAGTACGGAAAGTTCGAGTGAAAACAAGGATAGAATCTAATAATACTTAATTTGTTAATATTTGTGTGTCTAAAAATGGCAATCATCTATTACTTCTAATGAATAATTGCTATTTTGATATAATTTTTTGACATTGTGAATTAAATAGATGCTATTTTGATATAATATTTTGAATGAAATAGATGATGTGTAAAGTTCATAAATTCATAGATGATGTGTAAAGTTCATAAATTCTTGAGTTGATGATATGTGTAGAACTAAATAATCTTGTTTCATGTGTATTATTTTAAATTTTATTTTACATTTTTTTGTCAATTATTATTTTATTATAACATGGTTCATTACTTGATATCAAACATTTCCAGCTCTTATCTCTAAGACTTTACTCTACATCAAATATATTATTTTGTTTTTTATTTTTATTTCAAATAAATTAGTATATATATGTATATTTAATCTTATATAAATGTTTAATACCCAAATAATAAAAATGTATTTTATTATACTATTTCTATTTGTGTATTTTGTGATTTATTGTGTTGATTTTTTTTATTTTAATGAAATCTACTTGTTTTATGGTTGGTCGTGTGATCGACCAGAAGGACAACACTTAAGCTCGTTACACGCAGCATTCTACCTCAACAGGATTCGAACTGGTTGCACGATTAGCCAGTTAACTAATGGATAAGAAAGAATATAATTCTGATAAGGATCACACGCGGATATAGCCACGTGGCCTAATATAATTGGGAAGTTCAGGAAGATCGGGCAGTTTGATCACTACAAACGGGCAGTTTGGGGTTAGTCTTTGACAACAAGTATCATACCATCTATAAGGGAGTGAGATATGTCCATTGTTACATTACATCCTCTACACTCTACACATTTACATACAATACATTATCTTTTTCAATGTGCTAACTTAAGCATCGGAAAACCCCTTCGATGTGAGAGCTTTGCAGGTCTAAAGGACATACTACTGACGAAGAGCACAGATCAAGTCGAATCCGAATCGGTCGAGGGTCTTTTCACACCATTTGGCGCTATATGTGGGTACATTGTTCAAAAAGCCATTGAAACATCCTTCATCTTCATCCACGGCGAACGAATTCTCAGAAGAAATCTAAAGCAAACGTTCGATGATGTGTGGGCGAACACGCCCCCGTTCGGAGCAGGCCGATCACCAGACTTCTCCAGACCACTTCAGGACTGGATGGCCCCAAAGCCTTATCCTGCAGTCTTAGGGAGCTCATCAGCTGCAGTTGCAGGCCGAGTCACCCGCCGAAGGCCCGAACGACCCAGAAGTTTGCAGATCTGGCTAGCGCACAGCCTGGACGGGCAGGAGTTCATGAGGTGGGGCCAATCAAGAGCGAGGTCGATCCAGGACAGCTTGTCGCTATGTCTAAGAAAAGCTCGAAAAAATGATAGCCAACGTCGTTGCAGTTAGAGCCAGGCCACGTACCAGGTGTCCCATGCAACCACCGTGCCGACCACAGTGGTGGGAACAAACAGGAAGGAGACGAAGATGGATGAATCGAGCAGTAGAAACATTGATGCGAACTATGAAGATGATGGTTCAATTGCAGGCTAAAGTTAACGGAAAGGCAGTAGGTCGAGCTCGAGGGCATCTCTTTTCCAAGGAGATCCTCGATGTAGTGCTACCAACAAATTTCAGGGAAATGAATCCGACGTATAACGGGTCGACAGATCCATCAAGGCACGTGAGGTCGTTCGAAAACATATCTATTTTGCACAGTTACTCGAACATGGTTTGTTGTCGAGCTCTACTAGCCACCTTGAGGGGAAGAGATCACGATTGGTTTCACCAGCTTCCTTCGGGGTCGGTGAAGGACTTTTGAGGATTTTTCGAGCTTGTTTTTGAACCAGTATGCTAGTTGAGCATACTTGGATTGTTCAGGAGAAGACGTACTTGACATTAATGGCGATGAGGCAGAAAGAAGGTGAGTCGTTGAGGAACTACGTTGCTAGATATAATCGGACGTGTGTGGAGATACCTTCGGCTTTGGATGAGGTCAAAGCCAGGGTTCTGATTAGGAGATATGTACTTGTATATTATTTATTTGTGCATTTCACAATATATGTAGTGTATATATATATATATATATATAGGAAAGAGTTCAAATGAGAACTCTATGTGAGTGTAAGAACTAAGAACCAATCCTAGCCATTAATTAAATTAATATTGATGGTCTATATTGTTTCAAATATTTTTGATATTACTTATTCCAAAAACTACATTTATTAGGAGTGTCTATTTTAGTCAACATTATTGTTTAGTAATTAAATTAGTGCATATTTTTAGGGGGAGATTGTTCATACTTAATTTGAAATGGTAAGATTTAGTTAATGTTTTCACACAAATATTTTAACTCACCTTGAAAAAAAATAAAAAAACTGAAGGGACTCACATAATACATGTTACATTCCCGAAAAAAAAAAAAACAATAAAAGATATGAGCAAGTAAAAGTTAAACATGCACATTCAATCCATTTCAGAAAAAATAAATAAAAAAATAAATAAATAAATAAATAAATAAATAGAAAGAACCACCTAAAAAGAATAAATTTGTATTTCTTTTTATCCAAACTGTGTACTATAAAACATAAAATTCATTCTAAATAAAACTAAAAATTGGCAAAGTGGTATGAACTCCAATAATTTTTTTAGCAACAATTTGAGATAAAATTAGCAAAATTCTTTACACATATTAGCATATTTTGTATCGCTATTTTTATCTCACCACGATGCTATTTTTATTTGGTCATGATGCTAATTTTATGATTTTAAGTTTTGATTACACATTTTAATTAATATTCTACAAATTAAACAAAACAAATCATTATTCTTTATAATAAATAAATTCACAAACTAGAATAAAGCAAAGTGAATGTTGTAATGTAATAACATTAAAAAACAGCAACAAAAATATTTTATTGTGCAACAAAATAAAACAACAACAAAATTATTGGAAATAGATTAAAATAGCAACAAAATTTTAAAAAACAGCAACAATTTGTAGAATAAAAAAAAGCAAAAAAATTAAAAAACAGCAACAAAATTAAAAACACAACAAAATTATTTTAAATTCACAATGATTAAAAAAAAACAACAAAATGATTGAAAATAGATTCCATTAATATCAATATCCATTTGTTTTATTTGTGCAAACGTAAAATGACAATATGGAGATGCAATGAATGCTAAAAAATTTACTTTCCTAGTTTACAAAACACTTTAATTAGAAAAAAATCATTGTGCAACTAATGCCAATAATTTAAATCTATCTAAACCGTCAATATTATTATTATTAATGGTTGAGATTGGTTCCTAGTTCTTACACTAGATGAAGTTCTTATTAGAACCAATGTTTTAAAAACCGTACCGGTCGTCATACCGGTGTAGCGACCGGTATGCGGTATTACCGGTACGACCGGTATTACCGTCTATTTTACCGGTTTTAATAAATATTAAATTAATTTGTTATTATTATATAAATAATATACAAAACTAACTTTAATTAATATTAAAATAAATTAACATCTAATAACAATATAAACATATTAAAGTTAAGTGTAGAAATTTCAATTTATATAAATAAAATAATAAAAATCTATTAAAAATATATTTAAAAAAAAATTGCATAAACCGGTATTTTGACCGGTATTTTGGCCGGTATTTGCCGGTAAAACCGGTTTTTTCCGGTACGAAACCGGTATTTTGGCCAAAACGGTATTTTGAGTGTAAATGTACCGGTCGGATCACCGGTATCCGGTATTACCGGTAATACCGGCCGGTACGAACCGGTATTTAAAACATGGATTAGAACTCAACCCTATATATATATATATATATATATATATATATATAAATGACATTTACATAGTCCCGTTGGAGACTAGAATCATGTGGATAGGACGTCGAAATAATATATGGAAGGGGCAGGAGTTCTATTGAGAATTCCTTTCAGTAAATGCATTGCTTGCTGCTAAGTGCTAACTGAACTAAGTGGTAAAGAAGGGGCAAGAGTTTTACCGAGAATTCTTTTCAGTAAATGCACTGCTACTAGCAACTAAACTAAATGTTAAAGCAACACCATTTTGATTTGAAATTCCACCTTGCAAGGTGTAGCATGGCCAACCATGTAATTCGCCAATGTAATTAGTCATGTTCATCGATAGCCCGTAGTTAAGATTATGCAATAGCTTTTAGACTGCCACAGCACACATAATTGCAGCACGAGTTATTTGAAATTGTATCATCCGCCATTTTCATTACAAGAGGGGGAGAGGGATATGCATACATACTTAATATGATAGAGCACAATAAAAACTACATCACATGTTAAAAATCAGGTAGTTTACGAGTCCCCAATGGGGTATCAAGATATGAACCATCAAACATCTGATGAGTAAGGTACAAAACATCATTTCGACATCAATTGCTACAATAAACCCTACGAAGTCAACTTTGTGGAGCAGTCCAGTCAGAACCCTAGATAGTACCAAAATAGAACCCTAACCAATTTTATTTTTTTTTTTGAAAAAAAAGGCTTTACCTAATTGTTGGTTCTTCATCATGCAAAATGGCATCAGTCTCGGGGCTTTTCTGACTCATGATCAGCTTTCAGGCCATTCTTATCTTCAGCAACTGGTTCTGCACAATCGACCTTCCCATCTGGAGCTTTCTTGGGAAATGCCTCCGACTCCTTGTTTATTGCATCATTGGATTTTTCAACATCCTCATTAAAATTCTCAGTATTGCTGTGATTATGAGCTTCAGCGGCAGATGATTCCTCTGGAGCCACATCATTGCATTTCTGAACATTAGCGTTTGATTTTTCGGTTTCAGAATGATTTTGTGTTTCAGCTGCAGAAGGGTCATCCACAACTGCCTTGGTCTCAGTCTCTGTCTCGACTTTTCCGGTATCAGGTTTCTCTGGGATAGCCTCTTTGGTAATGACTTCATTGCATTTCTGAACATTAGCGTTTGAATTTTTGGTTTCAGTATCATTTTGTGTTTCAACTGCAGAAGGTTCATCCAAAACTGCCTTGGTCTCAGTTTCTGTCTCGACTTTTTCGGTGTTAGGTTTCTCTGGGATAGCCTCTGTGGTAATGACTTCATTGTTCTCAGCTTCGTTCATGTCCACATCAGCATCTTCTTTAGTTTCTTGAGTTTCGCCTTCTGCATCAGCATTACTCTTCTCGTCGTTTCCCTGTGGACTCAATTTTTTTCTCCTTTTCTTTGGTGACGAGCTCATGGGTCCCTCGGGTGCCTTTGATTTCTCACTCAACCTCGCGGAGCGCCTAGGAGTATCCCCTGCGCATGATGATGACAAATAGTATTAGGTCACATTTGGACTGAAATGTCTGAAATGTATGGATTTTAGGAAAAAAAGGATTCCATTGACAGCATATGGAACTGTTCCAAATTAGCCACAATAAGACTTGATTTAAAATCAATCAATTGTCATAATTATAACTTGCAAGACATTATTTTTTCTAAGTCCATAATTCTGATTCGCATCTAACGACACCAGCTACGTTTTTAGCATCATAATACAGAAAGCAATCCCATGTTCGAACATGAGAGAGAGAGAGAGAGAGAGATTAGTTACCTGTACCCCAGTCAAATTCGGTGACGGCAGGGCCTCCAGGGTGAGATTTGAGGTATTGATCCAGTTGTCGCTTATTCTTGATCTCTTCCCCGGTAGGAGATATAAAAACAATGTCATTCCTCTGTGGGGTACCTCCTTTCTTTGGAGTATACTGATGAGTTCACAAAACAATAATAATGACGATAACAGAAGAGCAACAATTGTGATATAAAGTCAGAACACGAGCATGTCCAGTTTCAACCAGTAGCACCTATCCAAGACCTCCCTATACTACTCTATCTTTACACTGACCAAAGCATGTAAAATCAAAATGGTGTGATGAAACTGATAATAAGAATTGCTGCACGCGAGCGTACTACTTTGTTAGCCAGCCAAATGTCCTATTTTCTTCAATTCAATAATGTCTCAATTATATAGAATTTTCCCCATTCTCCTACTCTATGCTATTATTGCTACCCACACTTGAATAACACTGGAAAATTTAGAAGAAGAAAAA